ATAAAAATGAGGGTAATTTCTTCTCAGATATGGCTATAATTAGAGAAATTGGCTATCAATGATAAAGAAGAGAAAAATGGTGGGTAGCAGAGCTATGATGGGACTGTATGGGCTCAGAAGAGCAATGGAAAGAACTGGTTCCACAGTTGCCTGAGCATCTTCAGTGTTAGGTATCAGTTTAAGTACAGAATAACTTTACGGAAAACATTTTCCCTTGAAGAAGAGTTAAGGGGAGCTACCATAAGGACTCTGAAGCCAATAATACCCAAAAAATAAACAACAAAGATTTTCACTAAAACAAAGACCCTGTCTGATTTATCACTGCTGGTCAATAGATATGATTCTGGAATATTTACACCAGGAAGCACTCAGCCCAATGGTCAAAAATGTCAAAAATGGTTAAATAATGAGTCACTCCAATTCTTTTTACTGGCTTTATGCTTGAAGGAAGATTGGCACATGACAAAAAAAGTCACATTCTGTTCCAAATTAAAGTGAAAATTGTCAACACTATAAAATTTCTGTGCAGGAAAGTGGATATGTATGTAATAGGGGAAGATCTACCAAATGGTACTCCTTATTAATACCCTAATACCTATACCCTCACAGTGCTATGTTTCTGTGTTTTGGGCTTTGGTGGGAGAGACCTAATAGAGTATCAGGCCAGCAAATTCAGCAGAAGCTATCTCTCTCTTGGCTTAGGAAGGAGCTAATACAATTAATTGCAAGAGACACTAATCACAGGCAGATAGCTTTGCCGAAAAAGGTTTTATGTGGATACCTATTAGTGAAACTAGAAAGACAAGGGACGTACATTAAACCAACATAGTAAACTCTGTAAGTTGAACATTTTACCTTACATTTATATAGAGCTAACAGTGTGTGTGTGTGTGTGTGTGTGTGTGTGTGTGTTGATGGACAATACCCACACGGGTCCAGAAATGATTTAGCCTAGAGGTTTCAAATTTATTGACCAACAATCCCCTTTGTATAAAAATAATAACTTAAAGAATAGGTATAGGATCAAATGGGAGATCAAATTCTAATTTTTTGAGAATCGTCCATACTGTTTTCCAAAAGGTTGGACCAGTCGGCATTCCCACCAGCAGTGAAGGAGGGTCCCTTTCTCGCCACATCCATACCAGCACCGGTTGCTTTTGTTCTTGTGGATGTGGGCCAGTCTCTGTGGTGTGAAGTGATATCTCATTGTTGTTTTAATCTGCATCTCTCTGATGATTAGTGATGTAGAGCATTTTCTCATGTGCCCTTTAGCCATTCAGATTTCTTCTTTGCGAAAGTTTCTGTTCATTTCCTCGCCCCATTTTTTGATGGGGTTGGGTGCTTTCTTCTTGTTGGGTTCAACCAGTACTTTGTATATCCTTGATATCAACCCCTTGTCGGACGTGTATTTGACGAATATCCTTTCCCGTTCTGTAGACTGTCCTTGTATTTTGGTCACTGTTTCTTTGGAGGTGCAGAAGCTTCTTAGTTTAAAATAGTCCCATTTGTCTATCTCTATTTTCACTTGCTTGGCCAGTGGCGTGACATCTTTGAAGATACCATTAGCTTCAATATCATGGAGGGTTTTGCCAACTTTACCCCAGAGAGGCAAAAAAAGTATAGTCGAAGTGACATATGCAATTGTTTGTTCATTGCAGCACTCTTTACAATAGCCAGAATCTGGGAAAAACCTGAGTGCCTGAGAACAGATGACTGGCTAAAGAAACTTTGGTACATTTACATAATGGAGTACAATGTAGCTATTAGAAAAGATGAAGTCATGAAATTAACATACAAGTTACATAATTAACATACATGGAAATTAACATACATGGAAATTAACATACATGGAAAGTATCATCTTAAGCGAAATGAGTCAGAAAGAGCGGGATAGACACAGAAAGATTGCATTCATCTGGGGAACATAAAGCAACAGAATGGGAGACTAATACCCAGGAGGCTGAGATTAGTACCAGGAATTTTGCTCTATGACTTGGAGGCCAGCAACACGTGCTAGGGGAAAAGGTGCTCTCTTCTCTATCTGAGAATATCTGAGGTGCTCTCTTCTCTATCTCAGATAGAGAAGAGAGCACCAAATAAAGGGTGTTGTGAGGATCCTCCCAGGGTGGGAGAAGCATGCTGAAAGTAGACTATAGACCAAACATGATTGCCACTCAATGCCTCTCTTGCAAAACACAGGACCCAAAAGAAGAGAGAGAGAACAAGGGGGAATGCCCCGCCACAGAGGCAGGGTGAGATTGGGGGGTTGGGGGGCAGAAGGGATGCTGGGACCAGTGGAGGATGGGCGCTGGTGGAGGGATGGGTACTTGATCATTGTATAACTGAAACCCAAGCACAAAAATTTGTAAGTCTATAACTGTACCTCATGGTGTTTCATTAATAAAAAAAATAAAAAATTAAATTAAAAAAAGAATTAACTTGGTAGTTTTAAAAACCTAAGAGGCAAAAAATATGAGAATAAAGAAGATGAAAGAATTAAAAAAACAAAAGAATAGGTATAGGAGAAAGGAAGGGAGCAATAGAACCCACTTTGGGAAACAACAGTCTAACCCAGTTTCCTTGGCTTCATGAAAAGGAAGTTTGTGGAGGTCATGGATGGTCAAAGTAAACAGGCACAGGAATCTTTAAATATTAAGAGTCATAGAGAATTCACTGTGTTTTATTTTGCTATTTCCACTCTGAAGGAAATAAACCCAAGAAGCACTAGATGGAATTTCTTACATATATTTCAACAGCATTTGTGTTCCAGCACTTGAGGAGTCAGCAATTTGGTGTTTTTTTCATAGTCTCCCCTTTCATGACCTCTTAGATGAAGCATTAGTTCCATGGAAAAAAAATGTTCAGGTCTGGTTGCCTCAGTTTGTGCAGGAAAATCCTCATGGGAAAAATCAATATAACATGCCTGAGAATTCGCTACACCACACACATACTCGTCTCAGCGTTTACTTTACAGACTTAACTCACTCTGTGCTCAGCATACCTAAACTCCCCACTTGCCAAGGTTCACTCCTTACCTGTCAGTTCCCAAGCAATAGTATTAGTGTGCCTTACCTTCTCCCAAATGGTTCCTTGAAGGGGATGCATAAGAGAGACAAAAAGGCTCCCCAAATCTGTGCTGAGCAGACTTTCCTCTGAGGTCTCTCATGTCCCTCAGCCTAAACATCTCACCATTTTTTGTAAATCATTTTACCATACCACCACTTAGGCCCCTCAGCATCTAAGTCCAAGTAACCCACTTCATTAACTTCAACCTCTCCAGGGAAGGGCGATTCTATAGGGCTGCTCCCTGCGGGCCAGCTTTTACTTCAAGTATCTTGTATCCAGGAAAGATAGCAGGACTGGTTTCCTTAAGGTTCAGGACTGGTTATGACAACCATTTTTCTGATGAAAATGCTCTCCTCTCTCACAATAGAATAAACTGTCTGGCCCAAGTCATGTTAATAAAAGTACAAAACACAGTTAATACCAATTAGAGAGAATTCTGCCTTATCAGACTTCCCTGTAAGACCCAAGTTTCTCACCTACATCTGCTTTGCTTTGTTTTCTTCTTTCCTGGGCTTCCTGAGTTTTTGCCAGAGGACCCCTCAGCATATCTCTGTCTGCTAAGCTGGACCATACTCCTCCCTGTTGACTCTTTAGTTAAGGGATAAAGGGAACCCCTACCTGGGAGGTCTCAGAAAAGCCCAAGGGAGCCAGTACATCAACTCCAGTGGAGACTTTCTAAGTCCATAACTCTATTTCTAGTTAGTGAAAAAGGCAGCTTTTTAGGGTAGGTCATAAGGAATAACATAGGTGTCTACAGTGGCCTGAGAATAGCCCTGGGAGAGATCATTTAGAAGCATTTAATAAATACCTTGATCACTCTTCAAGCATACTTGGAGCACCTCCATTTCTAGTATTTTCCTTTCATCCTCACAGCCTGTAGAGCCAGAGTATCATTAGCAAGCAGGGTTTAATAATGAAGAAATGGAAGCTGTTAAAGACCACTCTGGAGTCTCCTGGATTCCTCTCCCTCTGCTTTTATCTCTAGCATTATTTTGTTGGTTTATATAAACTCCTATATATTACCCCAAGCCTTGGTTGGAAAGCTGGTAAACACAGGTTTATAAATGCCCATAAACAAACGATAGACGTAAGAGTTCGCTTTCATCCATTTGCTGGTGAAGAACTCAGCATCTGCTTTTTTAAAATGTTTGCGTTAAGGGCTGGAATACAGCAGACAGGGTACTTCCCTTGCGCGGCTGACCCAGATCCCATCCGGAGCACCACATATGGTCCTCAAGCCTGAGAGGGATTCCTGAGCGCAGGGCCAGGAATAACGACTGAGAAGCCTCCAGGTGTGGATTAAAAGCCAAACAAAAATTGTTTTCTTTGATTTTAAATCCTCCAGGACACTGCACTGATTAAAAACTGCTCCTCGGGTGTGAAGTGATAGCACAGCGGGTAGGGCGGTTGCCTTGCATGCTGCTGTCCCAGGCTAGATTCACAGTATCCCATATGGTTCCCTGACCACTACCAGGAGTAATTTCTGAGTGCAGAGCCAGGAGTAACCCTGTGCATCACTGGGTGTGACCCAAAAAGCAAAAAAAAAAAAAAAAAAAAAAACCTGCTCCTCAACCATCCTGGAGGGAGCAGGGGTGTCTGAGATGTTCAGCAAGACACGATGCTACCCATCTTTTCACTCCTACCGAGTGCAGCAGCAGCTGACACAGACCTAGCACTCAGACCGGCCGGAGACGCCCCGCCAACACCCTGGCCCGCTTCTGTTTCTGGTCCTGGGGCCCGAGAGAAAGTGCCGGTGGACCGTTTTCTTTGCTGAAAATCGCAACGTGGAGACACTTGGTTTCTTAGGCAACCTCCACATTGACAAAACGTTGGGTTTATTTTCCCCCTCTTCTCTTCGTTAAACAAAACCAAGCCAACGCTCTGGCTCGGCGGTGGCAGCGTTGGGACGTCGGGTTGCGGCAGGTGGCCCGGCCCGCGGGCCCCGCGGCCGGCCTAGGCAGCGCCCTGCACGCGGTGCAGCACCAGCAGCGGGATCTCCTCCGGCCTCTCGGGCCGCTCCCGGTGCCGCCTCCACGTCGCCAGCCTCTGGATCAGCCGCTGCAGGTTCGGGGGGCCCCAGCGGCCGTGCTGCGGGGTCGCCGGGCCGGGACACCCGTACTTGGCCTTCTTCCTCCGCGGATCCCGGGCCGCGCCTCTCCGGAAGAGCCGCCACCAGCACCAGCAGCTGGAGCCGGAGCCGGTACCGCCGCCCGCCGGGCCCCGCCGCGGGCCGCCCTGCCTCAGCAGCTCCATCTTCTCCCGCAGCTTCTGCGGCAGGCCGCCGTCCCGCGCCTCCATGCCCGCCTGCGCCCTGTCCGCGTCCTGGCACCCGCGCCCGCCCGCGGCCTGCCCCACCGGCTTAGGTTGCCAGGGAGACCCGAACGGTGACCCACCCCCGCACACACACAATGCTGAGAGTGTCTCCGGTGCGGGCCGTGTCCTCCGGAACCCTGGAGACACCAGCATTCAGGATCCCAGACGGCGGGGATGGACCACATCTGCTCCTTTGAGTTCATCTTCAGTCATGGTCTATTTGATTTTATGTTCGTTCAGTCATGGTCTATTTGAGTTCATCTTCAATCATGGTCTCAAGCAGGCAAAAAAGGGGTCTCGAGCAGGCCAAAGACGGGTGGGACGTAGCCAAGGTCCAACCCGTCGTTTACTATTGGGTTCGGCATTTCTGCGCGCCCTCCACTAGGCCGAGAGTTCGGTCCCAGGCTTGTATTACCCTAAGCTCTTCTAATATTTGGGGCCCTGTTTCCAAGGGCTCTGTAGTTTTATGCCAAGGGGAATCAAGAGTTGCAGAAAAGATCTCAAAATCTGAATTTCTTGCTCTGACCTTATCCGAAGGCCTCTTAAGGAATTGTGATTTCTTTTCAATACTTTTTTTTTTTAACTTGGGGCCAGAATGCAGCAAGTAGGACACTTGCCTTGTATAGAGATGACCCAGTCTCAATCCCCTAAATCCCATCTGGTCCCTTGGGCCAGCATTGATCGATACCTGTGGGCAGAGCCAGGACTAGGACATGAGCACTTCTGAAAGCAAAAAATGTAGTAATAATTCTTTACGTGTTTATGAAAAATAATTTGAAGAGTAGAAGAAAATTCCCTGCTTCTTATTTTTCACTTGTTAATTTCAAGAAAAGATAACAATAGCTACAATTTATTATGGATATTGCATACTGAGCACTCTATCTAGCATGTTTAAGTTTTTTTTTTTTTCTGGGAGTGATAGCACAGGAGTAGGGTGTTTGCCTTGCACTCAGAGGGCCCGGGTGACCCGAGGCTCGATTCCTCCATCCCTCTCTGAGAGTCCGGCAAGCTACTGAGAGTATTTCACCCCGCAAGGCAAAGCCTGGCAAGCTAACCATGAGGTATTCGATATGCCAAACACAGTAACAATAAGTCTCACGGTGGTGACATTACTGGGCCGGCTTGCGCAAATAGATGAACAACGGGAGGACAGTGCTAGTGCTACAGTGCTATTTTCTGATTTATTGTATAGCCCACTGACAGGCATTGGGGGGGGGGGGGGAATTAGCCTGCATTTGAATTCTGCCTTCAACTTTTACTAGCTTTAATTTTGGCCAAACTAAAGCCAAAATTAACTTTGGGGGAGGAGGTGCCACTATACTACATGGTCCCCAGGGTATCTGTGCTTCAGGTGACTTCAAAAGAGCTGGGAGTGTCTCCAGGCAGTGCTGGAGGACGACGTGGCTTCAGTAATCAAACTTGACCCTAACTTGTTAGCAAGTTAGGACTTGCTAAGATACAGTCAGTCCTCCAGTCCTTATTTTAGCCAAGCTATTTAACCTCTCAGTGTCTCAGTTTACCCATCTGTAAAATTCAGAAGCTAATCCTACCTTTGAAGGTGTTTTGAGAAATTATATGTATATTTTTATATGTTAGAGTGCATATTCAAGAAGCATAGTGATCTGTCTGCAACAGAAGCTGTTCACAAGTCAAATGAAGTGAAGTAGTAATTCCACTGTGCTAAGAAAGCTAAAACCTAGAGAGATAAGATTATCTCAGTTAACAGTGTTAAGTTAGATATTATTTCAATTCTAGGATATTAAGTAATTGTGGCGGGCTGGAAAAACAATACAGATTGCACCCATATGGGCCCCCTTGATCCCAATCAAGAATGATCTTGAGCACAGAGCCAGGGGTAACTCTTTTTTTGTGTGTGTGTCACACCCAGTGATGCTCAGGGGTTACTCCTGGCTCTGCACTCAGGAATTACTCCTGGCAGTACTTGGGGGACTATATGGGATGCTGGGGATCAAACCTGGTTAGGCTGTGTGCAAGGCAAATGCTCTACCTGCTCTACTATCGCTCCGGCCCCAGGAGTAACTCTTAAGTACAGCCAAGTGTGTCTCAAAAAACACTCAAAAGGAATATTAAAAAATAAATACATAAATAATCGTGTACAGCTGTTGATCTGTCAACTACTCACCCTACCAATACAGTGTTATTGCTCCTAATATACCTATTCATCCTAGAGGCTCTATATCCACAACGTTTAGGAGTTAGCATTTAATGTTTCTATTACATCTGTCTATGGGCTAGAGAGGTAAATAAAAGGGTAAAGGCAGGAGCAGTAACCTAGTAACCTTTCAACATGCCAATCATTCATGCAGGCACCTTTCAGGACCCTTGACCTCTGTGCACACTATCATTTATTCTTTGGCCTCTTTACTTTAACATGACTGCTCAAAACAAGTACCCATGTCCTTACAAACTGCTTTATATTATATTTTCTGTTCCTGCAATTCTCTACCTCTTCTTCAGGCTATCTGTGCTTCCTGCCTCCTCTGCAGAAGAGTCCAGCACAAGGTAAAGCCTGACTGACAGATTCTACTGCTGAAGAAACAAGCCCCCACTGGAAAATTCCAAATAATAATGATGGGTCTTTTGTTGAAATATTGAATGTAATCAAAGTAGAGAGAGAGTAAAGTGGAAATCATCTGCTATACAGGCAGGGGGGAGGTGTGTGGGGGGGTATACTGGGGTTCTTGGTGGTGGAAAATGTGCACTGGTGAAGGGATGGGTGTTTGATCATTGTATGACCGAGACTTAAACCCGAAAGCTTTGTAACTGTTCTCACGATGATTCAATAATTTTTTTAAAAAAAGAAAGAAAGAAACAAGCCCCCACTAAGTTTATTATGCACAAAGAGAGTTAATAGAAGTGTAGCCAAAAACGCCAGCTCAAATATCAGCTTCCCTATGAGTCCCTGCACAGTAAAATCAAACAAAATGGTGGGATAATCTGTTGGTATAGTGTGAATGTCATGCTTCAACTAGTTTGTAGCCTGCAATGAGACCCTCAGTGTGGAGAGGAAGAAGCAGGAAGTCTCCAGCATTATCAAAATATTGAAAAGGGAAGATAGACTATCCTACAGGAAGAAAGAGTGCTCATGGGAAACCATTTTGCAGGTCCTCACAAGCCTTTTGAGCCCTCATATCCCGGGATTACAGGGTGTTCTGCCAAGATATAGATTCAGCTGTAATTCAAGCCTGGCTGATGTGGGTGTGTACAATTTCTTTATAATAGAGCCATTTCCCTGCAAAAAAAAATAATTTTTATGCTTCCTGAAATCTTTTGTTTTATATCCAGTTCTTACGGGCTGAATTTGTGCTTCCCATTCTCCTTCATATGTTGGAAGTCCTAACCCCTAAAACTTCTGAATGTGAATTTATTTGAAGAGAGGGGTAAAAAAATAGTTAAATTAGTGAAATTATGAGTGTGGACTCAAAACCAAGATGGCTGATCTTTATAGATAAGAGCACAGACACAGAGGAATGAGCATGTGAAGACAAAGAACTCCTTAACCTAATATAATGTTATAATGCAATGTTCCATTTTTTTAATGTGTGAAAAAGGGGCCAGAGAGATAGAACAGTGGGTAGGCAATAGCCTCACATGCAGCAAGCACAGGTTCAATCCACAGCAGTCCCTATGATTCCCTGAGTTCCACTAGGAGTAATTCCTGAATGCAGAGCCAGGGCACTGAGCAGAGCCAGATGTGGCCCAAAAATAAAAACAAGTAAAAACTTTAAAAATATAAAAATGTGGGCTGGAGCCATAGCACAGAGGGTAGGGTGTTTGCCTTGCATGAGACTGAGCCAGGTTCAAGTCTCAGCATCCCATATGGTCCCCAGAGCACTACCAGGAGTAATTTCTGAGTGCATAAGTCAGGAGTGACCCCTGTGCATCGCTGGATGTGACTCAGAAAGCAAATTAAATTAAATTAAATTAAAATGTGTTAGAAAAGGAAAGGACTGAGGGAGAAACTGGCCATCTGCAAAATTAAAGAGAAAGGCCTCATATAAAAAAAAACTTGCAGACACCTGGGTCCTACAATTCTAGCTTCCAGGACTATGAGGAGATCAACTTCTGTTGCTTAAGACGTAGCTGGAAGGGGGCTGGAGCGATAGCACAGTAGGTAGGGCTGAATCCAAATTCAGCCCATAAGAATTGGATATAAGTGTTCAGGTCTGACCTTGTCTGGGCAGGATGCTGTTCGTTTTTTTACCGACAAAATGGCGTGTTGGATTTCAGAAGGGAGAACATTGGCTTGTACACAGCTGACCCAGGTTTGATTCCCAGCATCCCATATGGTCTCCCAAGCACCACCAGGAGTAATTCCTGAGTGCAGAGCCAGGAGTAACCCCTGTGAAAACCGGTGTGACACGAAAAGCCAAAAAAAAAAAAAAGAAGAAGAAGACGTAGCTTGGAGGGGTGACATAACTGAAAGTAGGAGGTCATGAAAAATTTGACAACACTAAAATATTTTTTGAATACATGACAAACACTCACACACACACACACACACACACACACACACACACACCACAAGGGGAAGAGGGGATCACTTGACTTCCCATTAATCATCAATTTGCTCGAGCGGGCGCCAGTAACATCTTCATTTTTCCCTGTCGCATGCTAGTGTAGCCCAATGGCGTCTGTTCATTCTAGGAAAACCGATTGTTCGGGATCTTGATGAAGAAGTCTGATTATCTGGTAGGTGGGCGGCCATGCGGTCTTTTGACATCCGGTGGAATCCAGTCAGTAACAGCTCTAGTCCAGCAGTCATCTCCAAATCCCATTACGTGTCCAGCCCATCTGATTTTTGACACCTTGACAAACGAGACAGCATCCCTGATTCTTGATCATCAACGGAGGTCGGAACTCCGGATTCTTTCTCTCATTTGAGTGAAACGTGATACTCCAAGCATAGCTCCTTTAGATTCCTCTTTGGGAGACCCAAATTAGTGTTCTCATCCTGTTTTCGT